GTGGGTGCTGCCTTCCCATTGCCTGGATGTTTGACTCTTCGTTCCCCCCTCCCCCACAGGGAAGTCGTGACAACATGACTTGCATCGTGGTCTGTTTCCCTGCTGCCCCAGGGGTCTCCCAGGAGGCCCTACAGAAGGAGCACGAGTTGGATGCTTACCTGGAGCAGAGGGTGGCAGGTGCGTACCTGGGCAGCTCTTGCATTGCAGAGACAGGCTGGGAAGCTTCCTCAGGCATGGAAGCCATCTGGGTGGGAGAGAGCAGATCTTGGGGTCCAGGAAGGGTGATGAATGCACGAAAACAGAGGTGGGAAGCGGCGATTCACTTTGATGCAACATTCATTGATTAGAGCTGCTCAATGGCTGAGCTGCAAAGTTAGCAAAGCCCATCTCAGTTCATGAGCAGAGTTGCAGAGGACTGGCTGGGGCAGCTCAGGTTCTGCAAAGCATATGCCAATTAACAAGCTACCCGGTCTTACAGAGTCCTTTGTCTGACTGGACCACTCCAGTATGGATCTTGGGCCGCTTATCCTTCAGCCTTATAGAACTGTTCTGCGTATCTCAGTGGAAATGGGACACACACACACCCCGACCCACATCCACACCCCTGGTTTACTGGACGGCTGAATTTTTTCCAAAGGGAGGTGCCTTAGGAGGAGGTAGGTGTGAAGGTCAAAGGCCACCAAATAACCAGGTCCTCCTGCCTTTCTCCCCTGCCCTGGTGGTGCCAGAGCTGTACAGGGAGCTGCTGCAGCAGGAAGAGGGGCCCAGCCTGGTGGGCCTTTTCCGGTGCCTGGCCACGGAGGTGAATCCCAGCCTTCCCCCGGGGGGAGGGCTGGCCAGCAAGTGAGTACGAAGCCCTGCATCCCAGGAACACCCTTGTCTCTCATAGGCAACCCCCCCCGTGATTTTCATCTCAGCCCTTTGATTCTGCCGAGGGTGGGGGAAGCACTTTCTGGGGGCTGTGGTAGAAATAAGCAGCGCTGGTGTCTGCAAGGAGTGTGTGTGTGGATGTGTGGGTGGGTGGGTATGGGTGTGGGTGGGTGTTGGGGTGGTTTAGGTGAGACCTTCTCACTCAAAGTGAAGCTCAGGGAGGCCCTGTATGGAAGGTGACCAGACTGGCATTTCTGGACGACCACTTCCAGAAACAGGCTTTGCCTATTTTTTGCAGTCTCATTTTATTTTGCCTGGACCAGGTGGCACCCCTTTTCTTTGGCAGAATTCCCCAGGCAGCTTTGGGGAGGACGGGAGTGGGCGGCCAAAAACACCGGCCCGTACCCTTGTCGTTTGCGGGGGGTGCCCCAGCAGATTTCGGGGTGGCAAGGGCAGATCAGGGTTCAGGAATGGTTGGTTTGTTTCTTGTTCAGGGATGGGGATGTTTTGGACGACGCTCTCTTCCAGTTGCATCCTTTTTGTTTGTTTGTTTGAAAGACAAGGAAGCTAAGAGGTGGCAGGGGGGGCTGGCTGGGTTCCCCGCGAACTGCCCGCCCCTCAGGCCCCCTGACCCTTGGCTTGTCCCTCTGGCAGGAGAGCTGTCATCATGACCGCCTATGAGCGCCTGAAGCAGAGACGGGAGGAGGAGCAAAGGCTTTTGGTAAGAGCCCCCCCCAATCTTCTGTCCTTCTCGAGTGACCCCTGACCCCCACCAGGCTGTGGGTTTTGGAGCTGGCCTGCTCCCTGTGCACTCTGTTCCCCAGGCCTTCCTCCTTCTCTCTTGCTGGTCCCAGACCCCCCACCTACCCCCCTTTCGACTCCTCGCTCTCTCAAGGAGGCTGGGGAATGGACATTGTGCAGAGTGCTAATAAATGGTGGTGTTCTCTCCTCTTGGCCTGCTTTGAGCCAGGATTCTGCCCATCCCCTCTCCGACATCTCCTAAGCCTTTTCTGTTTTGGCTGCGGCACCAAAGTCCTCCTTTTTCTTTCAGGAGACCCCCCACCTACCCCCCTTTCGACTCCTCGCTCTCTCAAGGAGGCTGGGGAATGGACATTGTGCAGAGTGCTAATAAATGGTGGTGTTCTCTCCTCTTGGCCTGCTTTGAGCCAGGATTCTGCCCATCCCCTCTCCGACATCTCCTAAGCCTTTTCTGTTTTGGCTGCGGCACCAAAGTCCTCCTTTTTCTTTCAGGACCCCAGTGCAAATTCTGACTCGTGCTGAACACAGCCACGATGTTTCGGCTGCCGATCCTTGAAAGGGTGGATCTTAAGAGAAATTGATCTCTCTGCAGAACCTCTGGAGAACGTGAGCAAGCGGGAAGTGAGCACAGAAGCCTAGGGCTGCTTCCCTTCTCCCTCCCGAGTCAACACTTACACAGACTGAGAGGAACAGCTGAGGCTCCGGCCAGCTTGGAAGGGAGCTGCATTGTCTATTTTTGAAATATAATTTCCCTTTCTTATTTACAGACTAGTTACCTTTCAAGTGTGATCTTGGGGCATTAAAGAAATATATATTCCCGCACAGAGAATTTATCGGAAAGGAAAGTGCAGCCCACGGATGCCAAACCTGAACCCACCTCTCCGTCTTATGCACACCTTAATCCGCTCTTCTCATATATGTTTTTATTCCTACAACTTCTAAAGTTTGCACAGTTCTTTCCCGTCTATATCACATTCACCCTGAGCATAATCCTCATGAGGTCCCCTGCCTTTTATTCGCCTGTCGCACGTGAATGAGCAGAACAGGGAGGCTTGCCTTGATCTAAGGAACATACCACAAGCCCATGATTATTTTTAATTAAAGGAGACATTCTGTAACTACTTTGGGTCGTGGTCTTTTAAAATAGACAGTTGCCTCCTTCATCCCAGGTGGGTCAGAGCTGAGTGTGGCTTCTCCGTGTGATGGCAAGGAAGGCACTCTGCAATGTTTGGGGGAACTTTCCCCAACAGTACCTTTTACGGTCCAAGGGAGAGGCCCTCGAAACAGGTTTACAAATTCTGAATCCCTTGGGCACCTTCTCCTATGATCTCCACCAGCTCAGTTTCTTCCCACTGATATTGTTACATTCTATGATTCTGGAGCATCTGGTTGTGTGGACACTTCGCTGCGCACCTTTCCACACTGCGGGCACCTCCTTTTATCTCTTCTAGAAATGTGTTTTGTGCCTTCAGTGTTCCACGCCTAAATTCTTTAGCAACGCTGATGACAACATCGTGAGAGTCTGTCTTAGATCAAGCACAGTTTGCTATGCTGTGGTTACACTGAATTTGCGTAACCCTATGGGAATGTTTCTGTCTCTCAGCTCACGTTAACTCGTCATGTAATTTACCGCTCACAAAGCGATTATGTACCTAGTACATCCAGTGTCCTTGGAGAGAACTCGGAGGATAATTAAATACTGCTTTCTGTCTCTTTCTTAATCATGATTGAAAGGGGGGGGCAGAAATCATTACGTAAGATGAGGGGGAGGGCAGAAATTAAGGCAGATAAAGTGGGATCACATAAAAAGCTTTTGGGCTGAAGCACACAGATGGGGGTCATTAGGTCCTCTTCTGTTCTAGGAGATTGTATGTATTTTAAGAAAAGAGAAATTCAGAATCCCAGATGTATGCAAGAACACTCTGTGTATGCTCTAAGGCAACACCCTCTGTGTTCTTAGTAAATGAGTTCCTTTTTTGGAACGACAACTTCCAGAACCCTCCCAGCCCCCCGGGCTCAGAGGACGTGGAAGTGATCGTCCCCTTCCCTCCCCCAAAAGAAACCTGGCCCACATTCTGCCAGCCCTGAGCTGTAGGTCCCATTCCCAAGCCGTTGGCTAGTCTTGGTCCAAAGGGACGTATCGAATTTTGGGGGTTGGCATTCAGTTCTACTCTTTAGGCTCAGCAAAAGGAGGACATCTCTGCTCCCAAATCCTGCAGGAGACACGTTTGCTTTCCCAGCGTCCGTTGTGTGTCCCCCGTGTGTCGCGGTCGCTCATTTCCTGCTTCACTCGTCCATTGGTGTGTAGGGCCCAGGATTTCTGCCCATGAAAGTATAATGGCAGTGATGTCACCTTTGCAATGGTCTCCCGTAAATAAGAACAAAAATCAAGAACAATCATGAAGTCATTATTTACCACGCAGTTGAATCCAGTCATAATAAAATTTATATACAAAGGGAAGTTTATATCTGGAAGGAAATTGAAGGAGGCGTAATCAGCCTAATGACAGTAAATTGGTAACAGTCAGAGACACAAAGCAAATAATATTTGCAACATGCAGACCTGGCTTGTTTGCATGACTACCTCGGAGGGAAAGTACCTCTGCCTTACAACTGCTGGAACCCACTCACCCTCCAGGGGCCAGTTCTTCCACTGAAATAAAACCTTTCCCCAAATGTAGCTAGCTCCAGAACCTTAGAACTGGAATTTGGGTGTTACTATGTTGGCTGGTGGATTCTGGAAGTTACATTCACAAGTTATTCCGAGAATGAATGGCAAAGGTGCACGTAAACACGGGCACACACCCATGCACACACACGCACAGTCTGTGAGTGAATGATCCTGGAATTATACCTTGCTTTTACATTTACTACAAGGAGCAGAATCCTCCAGCCAGCAAGGCCACTGGACATTCAGGGTGGGGATTTTGGGAGTTGGATTCCAAGCTCTCCTAGAAGCCCCTTTACTTCTTTGGTGAGTGACGCCACCTCTGTTATCTTGTCCTTCCCTTTTCACTGGCTTCCAAGGTTGCTGTGCCCTGCTACCAACCTCCCCCAAATCGTTTTTTGAAAGAAATGGCCTTGTTAAAGTCTGTTTCAACATCAACGCCCTTCGTGCTTGGCTGTAGTGGCTTAAAGGAGAGGTTTGGGGGATGAAAGGAAACTGGAAGGGACCCTTCCCATCTCAAATAATACTTTATACAGATGTTTTTCACTGGTTACGTGTCTCGCTCCCCAAAATAATCTTGTTAGTGGAGGCAGCAGGAGAGGGACCCAAGTCCAGAACTAGACAATTGGGGAATTTGTGGGGAATAAAAAGCCCCAAAGTCAGCCAACTGACTCTTCCAAAGTTCAGGGGGCTGGACTCATGTCTCCAGGAGTGTAAAAGCTCACCTTTGGCAGAAGGAGCCACAAAGAGAGGAGAGGGCACGAGGGCAATGAGCGAGCGAACGAACGAACGAGGCCGGGAAGGTTTCACGTCCAGCCGTTTCAGGTCCATCTTGAGTGCTGCTTGGTTGCGGGACACCACGCAAGAGGGCTGAGCCGGAGTCTTCCAGGAAAAGGTGGGTTCGGGGAGGAAAGAGGCCAGCTGATGACAGCGAGGGCTCTCTGCACATGGGCAGAGGTTAATGCCTACTGTTGATCTTGCATGTCGACTGGATTCTATTTCCTGAGCTGTTCTGGGTCCCTGGATGTTGCTGTGAGGTGGGGAGGACTCACAAATGTAGAAAGGGACACATCTCTCTCTACCCCCCCACTTTGCCATGCTGACTCAGTGTTGCCACCAGCCTGCTAATGGTTCACAAGGACGCCAGAGCCCCCCCTCCTCTTACACGGGACCACATCTTGGTGCAAGAGGGTGGGGACAAAGGGGGGCCTCGTCCCACCCATCCACCCATGCCCCACCCCCTTTCCCCAAACCAGCAACTCAACCTGTCTTTTCCCCACTCACCGCCTTGGACTCACGAGAGAAAGAAAGGTACGTAAGAATTCTGGGAGTGGAGTGGAGCTGTTTGGGAGGCCAGGATAAAGGCAATATCTGGCATGCAGAGAGCCTTGCTCAAGGTTTCACAGCCCTGAGATCATGGCCAAAGGCGGGAACCTCTTTCTGGGCGACCAGGCATCCAAGCCCCCCATGCTGGCCCCGCTGGAAAAGGGACTTTGTTTTTGGTAGACGCCCAGAATTTCCAAGGTAGCTAGGGGGTTCTGGGATCCTAGCCTCAGAAGTCATTTTTCCCATCTTTGGGGTGAGTACGAGGACCTCCCTTCTCTCCGTGCTATGGGATCCTGTAGGAATTCCGAGGTCATGAGCCAGAAAGTGTGGCAAGCATTTTAAGGACTCCCAGCGAATGAATTTGTGCCCTGAAAGTGAAATTCCCCTCCCTGGCTTTTCCCCTGGTCATGCTCTGCTCTGCACCACTGAATTTTAGCAGGCCTCTCTGTGTGTGTCTCTCTGTTCCTTTCTCCAGTCCCTTTTCCTCGCAAGGAGCGTGTCCTCCTGCATGGGAGATGAATGCCACAGGCCCCCTGTCCCTGGTAAAACCAACACATTCCATGTGAAGCATGACCGGGGATGTGGGACAGGGGTGCCCTGAGTAATAGGACTATGGATGGCCATGTTTTGATTCATTCCAGGTCAGAATGTGTGACACCGAGAGAGAGGTGAGCCTCCCAGGGAGAGGTGGGATGCTCCTTATTAGAAACGGCTAGTGCAGGAAAAGTTCTGTAGCAGGCAATCAGCCCCAGTGCCTGGGGGTGGGACAATCTTTTGAGCAAAAATGCAGCATGTCCAGGAGGGAGGATTCTCCGATCCTAGCAAACGCCCAAGGAATGTATCAGGTCGAGGACAACTTGTTCTAGGAGCCCCCAACCCTACAAGAGTGATGTATGCATGCTGGACTGTGGCTGATACCTGTATGTCTTTCCTACACAAGCCATTTTGCAAACAAGCCCCCCCTCCTGCTGCCATTTGAAAGCAGTGGTGGTGACAGGGGAGGGGTCTGCTGCACCTCTGAGCCCCTCCCCCCAAAAAATAACGCTCTTGAAATAGACAAGCCCAGTCACGCACGATGGGGTATCTGCCTGCCCAAATGTTCCTGTAATTCACAGTCAGAAGTTTGTATCTGCAGCTCCTGAGCCACCTAGCAAAGGTTATCAGCCTCTGCAGCACCGGGATTTTGTAAGAACTGGAATAAGGCTGAGAGGGTGATCAGGACCTTGAAAACATGCCCCAGTGGCTGTTTTCAGCCTGTACTTCCTGGCACAGAGAAGGATGGAGCAAGAAAGCAGGCCTGTGTCCTTTTGCTGATACCGCCTGGCCTGCCTTTATCCAAACATCATAAACACATCCTCCAGTCTGGGGAGAGAAGAGTTGCTTCACAGGGTCCACGTACACACCCACCAGCCAGAGCCCCCCCCCCTTCAGAGGGACCTGGCGGCTGCAGAAAACACAGGCAGCCTCAGGGAGCCCGGGCCAGTTTTCTTCCCCTTTCTTTTCTGCCAATCTCCGCATGGATGAAGGAGGAATTCAGGAGACCTTGCCTGGTTGGGA